GTCCTTCCTATCTCATTGAGTGGACACGTTATTGTCATTTGCTGCCGGCCGCACATCTTCGTAGCATTTGGTGGAGGTACGGGTTTCCCCAACTATTCGGACTTCACTCGCAAATGTTCCTGCATCCTAGACCACTGAAATCGATGCAACGCCAAGGAGCCTCGGACGATGCAGCGCAGAACACCACTTCTAACCAGACGCCTACTGTTGCAGGTGCAACCACTATCCAATGCGCCGGAGCCCTTTGTCAGCGGGTCCCGAAGCTCTTCAGCGGGATTGGTGACGATGGCATTGAGGACTGTTTGGAGTCAGTTGAAAGGGTGAGCCTCCTAAACAAATGGGATAACATCGTGAAGCTCATTAACGCAATTCTTTATTTGAGCGACGTTGCAAAACTATGGTATGCCAACAATGAGTCAGAGCTGATGACCTGACCCCAGTTCAAGGCAAAGATCCAGAAAGCGTTTGGGAAGCCTGCCCAGCGTAAGCTCATCGCAAAGAGGACAATGGTATCATGCACCGAACTGCACGTTGAAAGCTTTGTTAGCTATATCGAAGGTGTCCTGAAGTTGTGCAAGCGCGTTGACCACCAAGAAAGGCATTGCCGAAGATGCTTTTCCAATCCTTGTCGTCAAAGCGCCTGCGACAGTCTCTGAAGTCATCGACATCTGCTAGAACTTCTCTGAGCTGCGCCTTCAGCGTTTGCCAGCCAAACGCATAGTGGATCTTCCCGCAGAGCTGGCCAGCCTGACAACTGCAATCGAAGGCTCCGTCGACCAATGGGCCGAACTCCGATGCGTCGTTCAAGACATTGTAAGCGACGAAGTTGCTTGCCAATTAGGAATGCCTTCGACCTCTCTGGAGTCCTTTATCTCGCCTTCAATCAGAGCGCTAATTCAGGATCAAGTCACAGCCACGATTCCTTGCCCCGTTATGCCGCCCGCCGCGTCACCGCCGCTAGTGCCTCAGGTGCCTACGTATGCCGAGATGGTAACACGTCCAGTACCTGCTCGAGTCTTCCAACCACAGCTGCCATTTTATCCTCCTCGCTGGCAAGCATGCAGGGCTGACCTATGAAGGACATCAGAAAATCGTCCCATTTGCATTTCATGTGGTTATGCTGGACATATCGCCCATTTTTGTCGCCGTGGAAACTCCGAAAGTTACGCCACCCCACCGCAAGCACAGTATCGACCAGCTTTTGGTTCTAGACGCCGCAGTGATCAGTATTCATCCCAAGATTACGCTGGACCAAAACCAGGGCAAATGCAAGGCAGATCTCAATCTCCCAGGCGGCGTTCGCTGTCTCCCCTGCGACCACGTACTACATCGCCCATTGCAGAGGGAAGCTGCTAGAAGCTGTTTCGGAGGCGAGAACTACAAATCCTTTCTCATCTTTAAGTCCTCGTTCAGTTACCCGAAATATGATAGATGCAGTTATTGACAATTTGCGCAATCAAGCATTAATCGACACCGGCGCCGCAGCGTCAGTTCTTCGGGCTGACCTTTGTCATAAGTTGAAGAGAGTCACAACCCCGTTTTCTGATCGCCCCTTTAAAGCTGTTGGTGCACAAAACATTGTCCCTACCGGTGTCTGTACAGCACGTATTGTCATTCAAGAGGTATGTTACTGTGTTGAATTTCTGGTGTTGCCTTCCGGCTCTCACAATGTCATTGTTGGTGGGGCCTTTTGAAAGCTAAAAAGGCTGTTATCAACTGTGGACGTGCAAAAGTTGATTTCGCTGACATCCACCTTCCCGACTACAACGTTACCATGGACACGATCAAACTTCCCTCCTTGATAACGTACGATTCCTCCATTTTCGTCTGTTCCTTTACCGATTCAATCGTCCAGAGTCTCGGCGTCTCCTCTAATGGTCTCTCTTTTTGTCCCTTTTTCTCTGCTTTGCCTTGACAATGGCAGCGCATTTCTTATGGCTCTAAATATGTATTCTATTCCAATAATGCTTCCTGCAGATGAAGTCGTTGCTTTCGCTGAGCCATACGAAGCTATCGAAGTCTTTGATTTCGATAATTCTCTGTCTCAATATTGTTGTTCATTAGCCCGGCAGCGAGAAGACGAGGACCAGATCTTGTTAGCGACTACAGATAGCCACCTTGATTCGTCCCAAAAGACCCTTAATTCTTGACGTTCTACGCAAATTTAGCTTCATACTTGATTGCCCGCAATCCACCTTGGGACGTTCCAAGTCGGTAGTTTAGCACATCGATACGGGCAACGAAAATCCCCTGCGTCAGGAGAGCCCGCCAGGGGGCCAGCTTGGCTCGACCACCTCCACGTGAGCTCCCGTCTTTTTACTTCTTTTGACAAAATCTCTGAAGGTTTTATATCAATCAATTCGCACAAAACAAAGCGCAAACGCGTAGAAAAAAAACACGAGATAAATTTTAAGACCTGGTCGCGGATTGGGGACCCGGGGATGGTTTAGAAGGGAAACTTATGACGCCGGCCAAATCCAACATGGCCCCCCATCGACGTGATGCTCCAGAGAGCCCAAGACGCCTTCGCCCCCGACCGCTGCGTCTTCGAGGCGCCCACGCTCCAGCGACTCCCATGGATACAAAACGGAATGGTTCAGGGGAGGCTACCGAGCTCAAGACCACCAACCATCGGCATTCCGTCATTGAAAGCATTGAATCGGGAGCGCCGGCGGTCAGGACGGCCCCAACGGTCGACGAGATTCAAGCCGGGACCATTGCCGGCCTCCCGGGGTGCCTGGAGGGAGGCCACGCCCACGCGCCCCCGACTCGGCCAACGTCACCCATTTCGGAAGACGGAGAGAGAGAATACGCGCCTCCTGCGGTTCCCCCTTCACCCCCCGGCCGTGCCCCGGACTCACCGGGAGCGTCCTCGACTCAGCGAGAGGCTTCTTCCGTCTCGCGCCCCATCCCCATGCCCGTGGAGAGGGTAATGAACGAGACACCCGAGTTAAGCACCAACAACGGCGAAACAACGGAGGTGAACGTGCCGACATCGAACAGCTTCGAGTGCCTTGGGGGGAACAATCCCGACGGGGAGCCTAGCGTCGGAACAGCAGCACCGACCAGTCATGATTCGCCAGGTGAGCGCCGTCCATGCGGGGTTGCGCCTGCCGAATTCCTCACCCAGGATGGCTACACGCTGGTCACATACCGATCGGAGAGAAAACTCAAAAAGTCAACAGACCAAATCGATAAACTCTACACCGTGCTTTTTCATCCCTCGCTAGAAAGTCGCCCATTCGAAGCAACACAACGGAGCAAAATTTCTAAAGAAATCAGAAGCGCTTTCAGCAAGACGGCCGTCACAAACATCCGACTAAATCCTTCTAAAAACATCCTAGCGGTTGACACACCCTACATTGAAACCAGAGACAGGCTTCTGCTCGTCCGCAACCTGGTCCGAATTCCGGTACGCTCTTTCCCAGCTACGCCGACAAACGCCTCCGTGGGAACAGTGCATGGCATGGCCGGCGAACACTCTCTACAGGTGATTCGGACTATGGTGGAGGCAAAAGGGACCATCCTGGACATCGCCCGTAAGGGAAAAGGCACATCAATCTTCGTCTTTTTTGAGGGCCCAAGTATGCCTGACCACGTGACTCTGGGCCCGCGGTGGTACAGGGTTTATCCGGCTAAAGAACAAAAAACGACTCAAAGGGATCGCCATCACGACCGGCAGACCTCCATGGAGATGCCCCCACTCACATCAACATCAATATCGGAAGCACCACAAGCAGAAAACAACCCATGGAGAGGCAGACCTACCTTTGCGCGTGTACTCCATGCAGGTCGGGAAACATCGAGCCGGAACGCAGAGCTCTCTGTGGGCCACAAACCCACCACCCCCACTCGGTGCCACGGTGCAGCTGTGTCGCAACGCAGGGGAGAGAGATCCTCCTCGAGACACGGGGGCACCTGGATCCGTGGAGACATGGATACTCGGGGGCCCCTATCATCGTCAAACTGCGGCCGCAATCGTCCACTCATGCGGTGCAGCCGAGGAGATGGCAGGATGCCCAGACGAGATATGCGCTGCCGATCCGTGCCGTCACCCAGTGAGCGGTCCCAATTGCGGAGTGCGATGACTGGAGGTCGGCATATCGAGCCCTTTGGTTTGCCGGAATCATCCTCCCGCGGTGCATTTTGGCCTGCACGGAGCGAGCCTCCTTTTGGTGACATCGATATGCGACGGACGGGGGCAGTAAGTTGGCCACCGCTTGTTTCGCTGCTCCAAGAAGAACACCAGAGGGAAGAAAAACGTCCTTACACAGACGGGTCCGCCTCCAACGCGTCTGAGAGAAGCCGGAGTGGGAATGACAACAGCAGTAGGCATCCCACGGAACCAACCAGCCTCCCCTGCAAAACAGCTAGTGGGACTCACCCAACCCTCCCGCATACTTCTCTGGCAGCCGACCCCAACCAGCCTCGGCTCCCGGTCTCCCCAAATGATCGCGGCCATCCCCCTCCCAGTTCGCCTGAGGCGCACGCTGCTGCTCCTCCTCCTCTCTTCTCTACTCTTTCGAGAGGGCATGCGACACCAGCGCGGTGCATGTGCGGACACTCGGGGAATTCCGCGGAGGTGCTGAATGACTTCCACCAAAAGTGTGTAGCGACGGAAATGATCCTTCATCACACCTTCACTCCACTGGTTAAAGAACTGCTCTCAAGTCTGCTCGAGGCTAATCCACAAATGAAGGGAACATCCGACGAAAACCGAACCCCACAGGAAAATACTAGTACTGCCCGACAACTATCAGACACTCAATCATCACAGCCACATTTCCGAGGGACAGAGGAGTTCCCGCTCCTGCCTTCTCGGCGGGAGACGTCTACAACCGCCGATACCGAAGACTTGGTGTCGCCCGTGCGGAGAAATATCAACCGCGATCGACCTCTGCACCAAGACATAGACACACGCATAGACCAGCTGGAAGGCGAGATGCGCGAAGTAAAGCGCTACTTGAAGACCATCCTTGACAGACTCCCACAACCCAACAATGGCCAAGACAAGTAAAGGTTGCATTGTGTGGCAGTGGAATTGTCGAAGCTTGGCTCCGAAGAGGGGACACCTTCACCAGTACCTACAATCCCTACCACCAGAACGCAGACCAGACGTTTTGGCCATACAAGAAACGTGGAAGGCCATCACCATTCCGGGATACCAAGCCTTTAATCACACCAACTCATCAGGGGTCGTACGAGTCACCACGCTAGTGCGACGGAACCTACCAGCACAACTTCATTCAACCGGCATCGAAAACATCGAGCACACCTTCATCGAAATCTTGGCGGGCAAGAAGAAGAGCCATCGCAGCACGTTCATCCTCAATGTATACAGTCCTCCGAAGGCACGACACTCGTTTCACCAGCTCCTGCGCGCCGCCATAGACATGGCCAAGGGAAAAGCTCTGCTCATCGTTGGAGACTTTAACGCACCACACATGTCATGGGGCTATCCGCGGGACAGCGCTAAGGGTCGGCAGCTTTGGCAGGACATTGCCACCCTGGGACTGGACCTACTTACAGACCCGACGCAGCCAACTCGGAAAGCCACGGGCGGATACAAAGACACATCACCAGACCTCACACTCGGTCACTGCTTGGACGCAGAATGGCACAACACCCTGGAAACTCTGGGCAGTGACCACTATATCCTCAACATCCTCCTGAGACGCGGCCCTACGAAGCCCATGGGAAGGCCTCTGCGAGTGGTCGAGTGGGACACTTTCAGGCAGGAGCTTGACGAAGTGGACCGAGACGGAGAGATCAAGGACCTGGATCAGTGGACCGCAGGCATCAGAGAAGTTGAGGCCTCAGCCACAAGAAACATTCCCGAGGAAGCAAATCTGACCGCGGCGGACAGTCGGCTCCTGCACCTATGGGAAATGAAGACAAACCTTGAGGCACGCTTAAGGCGAAAGAAAGGAAATCGTCGGCTACGCAAGCGAATCGCAACATTGTACAAGACCATCGAGAGTCACGCCACCTATCTCACAACTAAGCAATGGGAAGACACCTGCAACGAGTTCGAAGGAGCTCCCAACACTCCAAAGACGTGGAACATCCTTCGACATCTCCTCGACCCCGGACAAAGCCGAACCACAGTCCGAAATCAGATGGAGTGTATCCTGAACTCATTCAAGGGAGATGGAAACGAGCTTGTCCAAGAAGTACAAAACAAGTATATCGGACGAGCTCCGCCAACACCTGCGATGGAATACACGGGCCAGCCAAACCTTGCGCTAGACGAAGAATTCCGACCCTTCGAAGTCATGGCTGCGATCCGAGAGCTCAAGACCCGCTCCGCTCCAGGACCTGATGGAGTCTCCAACAAGCTACTGCGGCACTTGGATGACAGAGAGATTGACCGGCTAACATCATACTTCAACGTCTGCTGGCAAAAAGGGGAAATCCCAGAATCCTGGAAGACTGCGAAGATGGTGTTTATACCCAAGCCTGGGAAAAAACTTCAACTGGATGCCCTGCGCCCCATTTCGCTCACGTCCTGTCTCGGGAAGGTCTTGGAGCATGTCGTACTCAATCGCCTTAACAGGTACGCAGAGGCCAACAAAGTCTTCGCGGACACGATGGTCGGGTTCAGACCCAAGCTCTCGACGCAGGACGTGATGCTCCGACTGTATCATCAGATTATGGCAAGGGAATACGCACCCAAAAGGGACACCAGAGCCATACTTGGGCTGGACATCTCCAAAGCATTCGACAATGTCAGCCACGCAGCCATCCTCCGTGGGCTAAACTCCATTGATGTGGGCGAGCGCATCTTCAAATACATACAGAACTTCCTATCAAGTAGGCAGGTGCAGGTCTCGATCGGCGGTTTCCAATCTGACCTGCAAACTCTGGGCGGAGTCGGAACACCGCAAGGAGCAGTGCTCTCTCCGTTTCTCTTCAATATCGCCATGAAAGATTTACCGACGAAACTACAAGGTATCCCCAACCTTCACCACAGCATATACGCAGACGATGTCACTCTGTGGATGGTAGGAGGAAGCGATGGCGCCATCCAAGACTCGCTGCAAGAAGCTATACGCATCGTGGAAGCCTACGCTAAGGAGCGCGGACTAGCCTGCTGTCAGGAAAAGTCGGAGTTGCTACTCATGGCCGGCACAACGGTAAAAACTCCCTCGGGTATCATACTGCAGGTCGGAGGCAAAGACGTCCCTCGGGTCCGGCGACTTCGGATACTCGGTCTGTGGTTGCAGGAGGATGGCAAGAACACATACAGCATCGGAGTCCTCCGTAACCACGCACAGCAAGTAGGAAGACTCATAGCAAGAATCGCCGGAAAACGGTACGGGATGAAAGAGCGGAATGTCATTCGCCTTATCAAAGCCTTCGTGATTAGCCGGATTGCCTACATTGCACCCTTCCTGGACTTGACACTCACGGAGAGGGATGCCATCGATCGCATCATCCGCTGCGTATACAAGAAAGCGCTTCACCTAACACCTTCAACAGAGACCAAGCGACTCGAGAAGCTTGGGCTTCACAACACCCTCTCGGAAATCATTGAGGCACAGAGGATAGCCCACTACGAAAGGCTATCTCTGACCACAGCGGGAAGAACCATCCTCACATCTTTGGGCATCAACTACCACCCAACAGGGCACAGTACGCGAGGCTGGCTTCCAAACGAGCTACGCGAGCAACTAAAGATTTCGCCTCTGCCTCGTCACATGCATCCAGTGCACGACGCAGGCAGACGCATGGCCAGAGTGAAGGCTCTGGAGAACACTCTACAGCAAGGCTGCGACGACTCTGAGGTGACCTATGTCGACGCAGCCTCAGCTGACGGGGGTCGAATGACCCTTGCAGTTACGAATCGCTCCGGCCAAATCCTCACGGCAGGCAGCATGTACACCAGCAACAGTGCAGAGGCAGAGGAGGCAGCCATCGCCTTGGCCCTCACCCTCAGCACCACGAAAGTCATCGTCAGTGACTCCCAGATGGCCATCCGCCAGTACATGCGTGGTCACATCTCTGACAAAGCCCTCAAGATCGCCACTGGTCATCGTCTGATTGACCACCCAGTCCGCATACTGTGGTCTCCAGCCCATGCGTCACTCCCAGGCAACGAGAGTGCTCACAGTGCAGCCTGCGCTCTTACCAACCGGGCTAGCACACCAAGTGAGCACTCGACCTCCGCCACGTGGAACCACGACAACCTCTACACCTTTAAGGGGGTGCTGGACCACTACCGAGTAGAACGCCGAGCCTACCCAGAGGCTCACAGCACTCTCAACAAGGCGGAATCCACCATCCTCCGTCAAGTCCAGACGGAGACCTTCCTCAACCCGGCGCAGTTGCACTCGTGGTACCCAGATACCTACGACCCGTCTTGCAGGAACTGTGGCGAGATCGCTACACTCCACCATATACTCTGGGGGTGTCCGGAGCTGCTTCTTCATTCGAAGAATAAGGAGTTCATCAAGCAAGCCAGGCAACCAGGCGCCTGGGAATCCTTCCTGCGGGATCCTGACCCCACGACTCAGAAAATTCTAGTCCAGCTGGCCTCGGACGCCGCCGGGAACATCGCGTTTCGTCTGTCGACCGAGGGGATCGCTTCGTCAAAGGTCTCTCCCTAAGAGAGACTCGGTAGACGCGGTGATCTAACAGTCTTGGACCCAATAAAGTTTACCTCACCTCACCTCACCCCTGCGTCAAAGCCCATACCGAGTTTCAGCGTCTGAACGAAGCCTCATCGATAACCAGGTCACCGAAATGCTTGACAAAAGTGTCGTCACACAACCTACGAACCATGGGCGTCACTAGTTTTCCTTGTCAAGAAAAAAGATGGCACCACAAGATTTTGTGTTGATCGACTACCGTAGATTAAACAAGAACACCCGAAAAGATGTATGCCCCATGCCAAGAATCGACGATGCCCTCGACTACTTACAGGAAGCTGAGTAATTTTCTTTCCTAGACCTCCGTTCAGGCTATTGGCAAATTCCTATGGCCTCCAAAGACCAAGAAAAAATCAGGGTGTCGAACCGGAGCCGAACCGAACCGAACCGAAAACCGGAACCGAATTGGTATTTTTTCCGGAACTGAACCCGAACCCGAACCGTTATATTGTTATCGCGATGAACCCGAACCGGAACTGAACCTGAAAAAAAATAACGGTTACCGGCTCATGTCAAAGCGGTTTCGCCACGCGCTGTTGACAATGAATGTGCTATCAATGCCATTTGTTTTTTAAGTGCCGTCAACTGACACACACCTCGCGTACATATTTTTATTCTCCACTCAGTCTTAGGAATATAAACGCTGCATCCATGAATCTTGACATAGGAACCAGTATTGCGCTGGTCGCAGCTTGCACGGAAGAAAAAAAAATTGAAAGGTTGTGCAAAAAAAAATCGCGTCACGGGATTTTATTTTTCTACAATCTCATAAATCCTAAATGCTGCCGTGTGCTCATTTCATAACACGTTTCTAGAACGCGCGAGTTCTTGAAGCTTGCTTCAATCGGAATGAGAAAAGAAAAGGTTGTGGAGTTTGGTAATAATGCATCCGGTTTCGTATAGGCACTTAGAAGCTAACATATTTGTGAGACAGCGAACTCTTCTATCTTAATATTTATCCTATTACGTCCTTCTGGCGTTGCGTTCGGTGAAGTGTTTTTCATATTCCGTATCTTGTTTAATGAAAACTTCTTTAAGGGTCTAATTTGAGTTACCGAAGGCTAGTTCAAATAAAGAAAGCTGTATTTTCTCCCCACTGTTCCTTTAATAGCTTACACGCCGAGGTGGCGGGATAGTTAGCGAGTTCTACTTGTAAGTGGGTTCGTAAGGAGGTCGCGGATTTTACAGCTACTGCGTCGGACCCAATTAGATGAAGTCCGAATGCAACGTCGGTGAGGTAACCTTTGAGCGCACATAAAGAAACCATTACTGGTAGAAATCCCTGAGCCTTACACTACGATGTATCCCGTTTCGTATGTGCTGATTTCAGATGTTTTATTTGTAATTTATTTTGATGTTGCAATTTGTCATTTATAATTTACGAACCGGTTCGCGAACCGGTTCGCGGATCGAATTAATCGAACCGGAACTGAACCGGAACAAAAGAAATTTACCTGAACCTGAACCGTAACCGAACCCGTATTTTTTTCGGTTCGACACACTGGAAAAAATAGCTTTCGTAACACCCGACAGCCTGTACCAGTTCACCGTCATGCCCTTCGGCTTATGCAACGCTCCGAAACATTCGAACCTATGATGGATGCAGTGTTGCGCGGCCTCAGGTGGAAAATATGCCTATACTATTTAGACGACTTAGTAATATTTTCAAACACATTTGAGCAGCACCTGCGTCGATTTACCACCATATATTCTTGTCTCAGCAACACCGTCTTTCAGCTCCATGCAAAAAAAAAAAAAAGTCAATTTCTAACACGGTAATTTAAGGTGTTTGGCCATCTCGTGTCCAAAGACGGCGTTCAACTCGACCCTAGCAAAATTCAGGCCGTTTCTGACATGCCCAGGCAAACCACTCAAAAATAAATTCTTAGTTTTCTTGGTTTTTGTTCCTATTTTCGATTTTTGTGTACGCGGATTCGCATCCATAGCGGCACTCCTGCATGATCTTCTCAAGAAAGCCTCACACCTATTTTCTTCGACATCGCAGTACAAGGCTGCTTTCAACCAGCTCAGTTTTTTTTTAATCTGCCCCGATACTTTGGCATTTTAATCCTACCGCCCGAACAGAACTTCGTACTGATGCCAGTGGCTTTGTAGGTGGGGCTGTGCACGCAGAAACCAAGACAGGATTCGGCGAATGCGTTGTCGCCTATGCAAGCAGGGCTCTCACAAAACCAAAACAAAATTACACCGTAAGTAAAAAAGAATGCTTGGCAGTCGTCTGGGCAGTTACCAAGTTCCGCTTATATCTTTATGGTCGAAAATTTAATGTTGTAACCGACCATCACGCGCTTTGCTGGCTGTCATCTTTGAAAGATCTCACAGGACGCCTTGGTCGATGGATGCTGCGGCTGCAAGAGTACGACTTCGTTGTTGTGTACAAATCCTGCCGCAAACATAGTGACGCCGATAGTATCTCTAGATTTGAAAGTAAACATTTGGCAGAAATCTGCCTGGTTGGGTAAGAACAATTAGAAGAGGAGGAAGGAACGCCAACCAAAAATAAGAAGGAGCCCAACGTTTCGAAACCTGCTTGGTTTCTTCTTCAGGGGCGACTGTGTGCGCGAGGAGCAAGTGGTCTTCTTTTACGGCGGTGGACGTCATGTTTTCGCGATCGTAATGTGGCTGAGCCCGCTGACGTAAGCCGACGGTAAAGCGCCAAGCGACCGATTGATGTTTTGCGGTGTGGTTTGAATGTGCCATGACTCGACGAGGAGCCTTTGCCGGGAATTGGTCTCAATGTCGAGGATACGTGTGTCGTCGAAGTCAATGCGGTGGTCATTCGAGTCACTGTGTTCCGCAACCGCGCTGCGCTCATGATCGAATTTTTGCACGTCGGTTTTGTGCTGGCGAAGTCTTTCTTTAAAGTTTTTGGTTTCGCCGATGTATGTGGCAGGGCAATCCGCACAAGGAATCTGGTAAATAACGCCTTGCGCTCTTTCCTTTGGGGGACGGTCTTTTGGCCGGGGCATCAGGTGTCCAAGCGTTGACACTGGTTTGTGGGACATCTGGATGCCTTCTTTTGCCAGCACACGCGCGAGCGCTTCGCTGGTTTCCTTTATGTAAGGGACGCAGATGCGCGTGGTTGAGCGGGGATGTGCGATTTCTTGTGTTTCGCCGATTGGTCTTAGGCGTCGATCAGATTTACGTTGACGACGAGCGATTCGCTGAATAAAACTGCGTGTGTAGCCGTTACTTAGCAGGTCGGAGATGATGGTTTCTTCTTCCTTTTTTCTGTAGTCCTCCGACGAGCAAATAGTCTTCGCTCGGGACAGGAGTGTCGGGACGACCGACGCCTTGTGGCTCGCAGGGTGGTTTGAGTCAAATCGGAGATAGCGCCCAGTGTGTGTCGGTTTCCTGTACACCGTGAATTCCAATTGATCTTTTTGTCTTTTGACCAGCACGTCAAGAAACGGCAGGGCGTCATTCTTTTCAGTTTCAACGGTGAACTGGATGGCCGGCTCGATGGAGTTGAGGTGTGCCAAAAAGTTGTTCACTTCTGATTTCTTCATAATGCAGAAGCAATCGTCGACATACCGTAAAAACACTTTAGGGCATGCAGTGAAAGACTCCAGCGCGCGATGTTCAATGGCTTCCATTGTCAGGTTGGCCGTGGTGACGGAGATGGATGCGCTCATTGCGGTTCCGCTGGTCTGCTTGAAGAATTCTCCTTTAAAGCTGAAGTAGGTGCTCCCCAGGCAGAACTCTAGCAGGCGGCACAGTTCGTCCACCATAAGGCTGGTCCGTTCGCTCAGCTTCTTGTCTCCCTCGAGGGCAGCTCTGGTTGTGGCGACTGCCAGGGGAACCGGCACGCTGGTGAAGAGCGAGACGACGTCGAACGACACCAGGCTTTCGTCATCGTTTACCTTTAGTTGCGCAACCTGTTCCACAAAGTGCCCGGTGTTCCGCACATAGGTCGCTGTGTTTCCAACGAGAGGAGAGAGAGTGCTGTGGAGGTAGTTCGACAATCCCCGAAGTGGTGAGGTTGTGAAATCCACGATCGGCCGGAGAGGGACGTTAGGCTTATGAACCTTAGGAAGACCGTAGAAACCGGGCGCAAACCCATTCCTGCACAGAAGCCGCAGATGAAGGCTCCGCGCGTCAGGGTACTTCTTAAAAATTTCAGAAAGGATATTGTTCAGTTTTGTCTGAACTTGTGATGTCGGGTCTTTCCTGAGCTTTTCATAGGCAGAGCTGTCAAGAAGGTCCTGAATCTTGTTCTCGTAGGCATCCCGGTCAAGGACCACAGTCGAGTTTCCTTTGTCCGCGGGTAGAATCACGATGTTTGTGTCTCCTCGAAGCTCCCGGAGAGCTGCTATCTCTTCCCGTGGCAGGTTAGGCTGTTGACGACGGGGAAGTTTCGATAGGATGCCGATCACCTTCTGCCGGACTCGGTCTCGGGCACTTGGATCTAGGTGCAAGATGCCGTCCTCGATATTTGCAACCATTTTTGGCAAAGGGGGTTTTGTCGTGGTCATGTTGAAACCGTGACCCTTCGCCAACACACTGACCTCGCACGGGGTTAGTTGCCTGGAGGAGAGGTTCGTAACAAACCTAGTGGAATCAGTGCTGTGCATTGCTTCGCCTTTCTTCTTCAGTCTCAAAAGCTTCTCCCTCTGAGATACTCGTTGCTTGTCTGCGGAAGTGGAGGCGACACTGTCGGCGAAAGACTGAAGTGCTGGAAATAGGCTTGTGATGCGGTGTTCTAGTTGCCGACGAATAAAAAAGAGGTCTAGTCTTTTTTATTCGTTATTATTTATTTATTATTATTATTATTTATAATTATTATTATTATTATTATTTATTATAGCCGACGAATAAAAAAGAGGGAGACAAGAAGCTGAGCAAACGGACCAGCCTTACGGTGGACGAACTGTGCCGCCTGCTAGAGTTCTGCCTGGGGAGCACCTACTTCAGCTTTAAAGGAGAATTCTTCAAGCAGACCAGCGGAACCGCAATGGGCGCATCCATCTCCGTCACCACGGCC